TTTTTTTTTTTTTTTTTGTTGCAGTCATCATTTTTGTTTAGCTGGTCTGGGCCAGATTCGAACCTTCCAGCCTCAGTGTATGTAGCTGGCACCATAATCACTGTGCTATGGGCACCTAGCGTCACAAACTTTTTGAGGCCTCAGTTTCTTTAATGTGAGTTCGAGATTCTAATAATACCTACCTTATGGGGTTGTTGAGAAATCAAGGGTCGAACATACAGCAAAGCAAGCAATAAATGCAGGGCCTCCACATAGGATCATACAGTTGTTCAGTGCACAAAGGGAGCCTGTCCAAGGCAGTGAGTGAGGGCAAAATTCAGCCCACCCTGCTCCCCAAGCAACAGGCCCTAGCATGGGACTGTGCCTGCCTGCCAGAGAAAGGGGCACCTTTTTCTTTTTTTGAGACAGAATCTCACTCTGTTGCCTAGGCTAGGCTGTCACGGCCTTACCCTAGCCCACAGCAACCTCAAACTCCTGGGTTCAAGTGATCTTCTTGCCTCTACCTCCTGAGTGGCTGGGACTATAGGCATCTGCTACCACACCCAGCTAATTTTTCTATTTTTAGTGGAGATGGGGTCTTATCTGAACTCATGGGATCCTCCCATCTCGGCTTCCCAGAACACTAGGATTACAGGTGCTCAGCCACTGCATCCAATCAGGGTTACCCTTTTTTAATTTGCACAAAGATTCCACATGGGCTAGTAGTGGCCTTAGATAGATGTTAGTTATTATTATTATCCCAAGGGTTAATTAAAGCAGGCCTGGAACTCAACCACAGAAGAATGCTGTGGTTTGGGGTTCCATCTTGACTTCAGGTATCCAGAACAGTGCCCTTTGGGACTGAGCAGAATTCTCCAACCTGTCTTATGTATTGCCTGTCTTGAAGAACTTGTTAATTAGCTGGAGGGGTGGGGGCTGGGAATGGCAATCTTCAAAGCAAAGAGGTGGGGGGACAGCCTCTCAGATTTGAGCCCAGAAGACACAGAGAAATTTAGCCACGTGGTCCAGGAACTGCAGATGAAAGGAGGACTGGGCACAGCTGCACAGCCCCGCAGGGCACCCTTTGCAAGCACTGGGCCAGACAAAGGTCCACAGGCTGGAATGCAAGGATGCTGAGTTGGAGCCAGAGTGGCTCTGTGGGTGTTCCAGGCCCAGCATGCCTTCCTGTTTTCCTGGGGCCACAGCCCTGTGAGATGCTGAGTTGCTGCACTGCAGCTCGTCTGTCCCACCACAGCCAGCCAGAAAGCTGCCTTGGAGAGGAAAAGGCAAGGGCATTACAGACCCTCACAGAGATGAAGCTGTACAGAGGTGTCAATGAGGTGTTTGGGGGTTTCTGTTGTTTGGGTTCTTTTTGTTTGTTTTGAGGGGGGCTTGTTTTTGTTTTTTTGAGTCAGAGTCTTACTTTGTCTCCCTCAGTAGCATGCTATGGCATCATAGCTCAAAGTAACCTCAAACTCTTGGGGGCAAGAGATCCTCTTGCCTCAGCCTCTCAAGTAGCTAGGACTACAGGTGCTTGCCACAACTCCTGGCTATTTTTTCCAGGCTGGTTTCTAACTTGAGAGCTTAAGCAATCCAACTGCCTTGGCCTCCCAGAGTACTGGAATTACAGATGTGAGCCACCATACCCAGCTTTTTTTGTTTTTTTGAGGAGGCCCAGCACGTGTAGGAAAGGAACTATTCCATTTCAACCTGTTGATTCCCACTCGTGACAATGGACAGCCATCCTGATACTGAGTATCACGGACCTAGGCAGAGTCTGCCTATTTCCCTTCCCCTGCCAAAAGCTGAGGGTGTTCTGGATGTGGCTCTGAATGACTCACAGGCCTATCAGGCAGGTCCTCCACAGTCGGCATCTCTAGCATGGGATGTCCCTCACCTATGTCAGTTCCTCCAGCAAAGTCCTCATCATAGGAGTCATCAGTAGAGTCTTCACCATCCACCGAAGACCATGCCCGGAGCTTGGCTTCTGCAATGGCAAACTGCTCAGCAACTCCTGTCGGGGGGACACAGAATCCATTAATAGAGGATGAGCTAAGAGTAGGGCTCAGCTTGGAGAAAGAAGGGATAGGAATGTGGCACCCATGTGAGAATCAAGGAGATGAGAGAAAACAGCCTCATGGCAAATGTATGCTGATTCCCTTTCTGCCACCCACCTGCTGCAAAGCGAGCCTCTTGTTCACCCTCACTGAGGTCTGAATAGGAGGAAAAGGCTGATTCCAAGGCAGCAGGCGAGTCACTTGGCTTGCTCCATCCCTTCCACTCAATGAGGTGAGCCACTCGGCCCTGGGCCATGGCAGTAGGCTTGGTCACGTGGTCCTTCACCACTTGGGAAATACCTGGATATAGGGGAGAATGGTAAGGGCACAGGCCAGGGAACACTTAGACAGAGTAGAAGGGTGGCAGCAGTTAGGATCCAGGTACACCTTTAGGTATAAGAAAGGGCTGGGATTGATTTGAGAAAGAGAGGAAAAGAGAGATCCCAGTAAGTGCTCACAGGAAACAGTCCCAAAGGGACTGACTGTGCAAAAGTAAGGAAAATGGACAGAGTAGGCAGAGGCATGGAGGGGGCTTCATACCATGCAGGGAGGATCTGGCCAACGCAGCAATCTCCTGGATAGTTAGGGCTCTCCGGGACTTGGGCAGCATTGCGACTGTGTCTCCAACATTCACCTTGGGTGATACCATTAGAAGGTCAATGTCCCTCTGATAGCAGTGATCTTCCCCCCAATATACCAATACCCCTCACAAACAGTATTGGGGGACCTGGGAGCTAGGAAGACACACCGGGCCAGCACATATATCCCAGTGCCTGCTTCTTACCCTCAGAGGGTAAGAAAATAGGACCAGAAAACCATGTCCTCCCAGGGAGCAACGGAGGTGCAGGTAGGCCCAAAGGAACAGAACTGTAGCCAACCCTCCACCTTGCCAACACAACTTCCATATTGGAAGGTAGAGCAGGAAGTAAAAAACAAAAACAAGACCTGGAAAGAAGGAAGAGGAGGAAGGGAGAGAGCTACAGCATCTGAGACTTCCTAAGATCCCCTCCTCAGCTTGGCACCTGTAGCTCAGGCGGCTAGGGCGCCAACCACATACACTGGAGCTGGCAGGTTCGAATCCAGCCCATGCCAAAAAATAGCTGGGTGTTGTGGTGGGCGCCTGTAATCCCAGCTACTTGGAAGGCTGAGGCAAGAGAATCACCTAAGCCCAGGAGTTGCTGTAAGCTGTGTGACGCCACGGCACTCTACCGAGGGCAATAAAGTGAGACTCTGTCTCTATAAAAAAGACAAAAAGATCCCCTGATCTTTGCCCCTCTTCTCTTCCCACATTCGATTCCATCTGGACGGTCTGCCAATGCCACAAGCTTAGCATTACTCAAATCAAATGGAACACCTTCACCCTACATCTGGCCCTGCTTCCTGACTTCCTTCCTTTGCATCAGCCCACTATTCTCTTATCAACTCTTCCCTGGGCTTTGCTGGCCCTTATCTATTAAGACCTAGTGATTGTAGGCCTGCACATTGGCTCATGCCTATAATCCTACCACTCTGAGAAGTGGACAGCTTAAGCCTTGGAGCTCAAGACCAGCCTGAGCAAGAGGAAGATCCTGTCTCTCCTAGCCAGGTCTTGTGGCAGGCACCTGTAGTCTCAACTACTAGGGAGGCTGAGGCAAGAGGATCACTTGAGCCCAGGAGTTTGAGGTTGCTCTGAGCTATGATGACACTACAGCACTCTATCCAGGGGGAGGGGGACAGAGTGAGATTCTTTCTTTCAAAAAAAAAGACCTACTGGTTCTAGGCTGGGCACAGTGGCTCACACCTGTAATCCCAGCACTCTGGGAGGCTGAGGTGAGTGGATCACCAGGCATTGTGCTGGGTACCAGTAGCCCTAGCTACTCAGAAGGCTGAGGCTAGAGGATCACTTGAGCCCAAGAGTTTGAGGTTGCTGTGAGCTATAATGCCATGGCACTCTATGCAGGGCAACAGAGTGAGACTGTCCCAAAGAAAAAGAAGACCTACTGTTTCCACCCTGATTTTGCCTCTGATATGACTCTCATCCTTTCTACTCCCACTGCCACTAACCTTCCTCAAGCCCTACTGCCCCCTGCCCAGATCAGTATAACTGGTATTCCCCAACCTCTTCCAATTCCATGCTATTCTCTCAGCACAGAATGGGGTATGTATGAACAGTCCATCTCCTCCCTCCATGCTTCTCATGGCTGGCTGGCTCTTTCTCATCCTTCTTGTTTGGGCTGAAATATCACCTCCTCAGAGAAGCCTTCCTTTCTGGTCACCTCACCAGTAGGCCATTCTCCTCAGTAGTCTCTAACAAATTATTCTTCTCTACCAAGGTCCATCATTTGTGGCCATTAATCACAGTGTGTAACTACAGTCTTTTTGGAGTCTTTCCTGTTTCATATAGATCTCCCTCACTGGTCTTTATCTCTTTGAGGAACTCAGTCTCTTTTGGTCACTGTGCACCCCCAGGATTTAGCATAGTGCCTAATACAGAATAATCTCTCAAAATGCATAGGCTGAATAAGGTATAAATGTAAACAATTTTCCTGGAGTGAGTAAAACTTGTCACAGTATGTCCCTGTTTAAAATATTTTCTGCCCAGTAAGGTTATATAGGCTTCATAACCAGGCACTGAAGGAGACCACTCTGTGAGGCCCCTGCCGCCTTCCAGACCTGGTTGGAATTCATCACTAATCTCTGCCCAATAAAACCCCACTTCCCCACCTTCCCTGTCAGCAAGCAGCTCACTTGCCTGCAGAAAAGGAACTCAGCTTCCTGTGGACCAAGAATGCCATCTTTACCTAACAAAACCTCCCCACCATTTAAGGCCTGATTCCAAGGCCACTTCTTAATAATGCTTCCAACCCACAGTCCCTCTCCTTTGACACTTCCCCCGACCTCTCAGTATTGTCCTTGTAGGTCTTCTGAGGGAGCTCAGGATTGGCAAGGCCGGAGTCCAGTCCACCTGGACTCCTTCCACCTTGCACTTGGGTCAGCACGCCCTTCCAAGTCCCAGCAAATGTTTCTCTTCAGGAATGAAGTCTGAGGCTCATGCCCCCTCCCCAGCATTGCCTAGCTCTCCTCTTTGACATTCCCACTCCTCAAAAAAGCCGCAGCCCCACACCTGTCCCTTGACATTAGGCCCACCCTCAAGGTCCCTCCCCTTGAGTACCTGGCTGACAGGGCCCCCAGGAAAGCGCTGGTAGCCTCCCAGGCCAAGCCTGGGGGAGGAGCACGTGCTGGGTGTTTCCTGGCTTCTCTCCCTCCCTGGTCTCACTCCCCATCCGCCCAGCCTCGCGCAGCTGCGGCCCAGGCCCAAGGAAAGGTGTATGTCTCCCTGGCAACCCATCACTATGCAACAGGGTCTCCCGGGATACGGCCTGGGATGCGCTGACGTCAGCGCCAAAGGCGCAAGCTAGCTGGCCTGCTGGCATAACGCCGAGCCCAGCAGACCCGGCGCGGGGGCGGCCTTGCACCCACCACCGGATAGCGCCTCCACTCGCCGGAAAAGGGAGCCAGAAGCAGGCAGGCTAGGCGGAGGTGGGGGGTACAGATCCCCTTTATGTGGATGTGGTCCTCTTTCCCCCCTCCAACACGGGGGTTGGGGGGGGCCCAGCACCTCTGGCAAGTCCTGGCTGTCCACCGAGGAAGGGCGAGAGGACCGGCTCCAGCCTCGGAGGGTCCGAACAGATCCCAAAGAAGATAGAGAGAGGCCTCGAGGAAGTTCGATCCACTCCACAGCCCACGCAGGGTCCGAGGCCGCTGAGGGGAGGGGGAAAGACTGTTCAGCTGGATCCTACTTCTGCCAAGGCCCCCATCCAGTACTGCCTTATCATTTCTCCTCAGCCCCTTCCCTGCCTCCCAGACCATCAGTGACCACTGGGTACTCTCAATTCTGAAAGCCTCTTTCCCCATCCCTCACTCTTGGGCCCCTTGGGCCATTTTGTAGCAGCCCACTGGCCACCTTCCTGCTCTGGATGTATTTTGCCATCAAAATCCAAGGGTGAAGTTCAAATATTAATAAATTCTGAATCCTCTCAGTTTTTCAGCCTACCCATTTCTCTTGGAAAGCACACTGAGTTCTTCCACCATCACTGACCCCCCACTCCCCACCACCACCCTGGGCCCTTTGCACGCTGCCTTCCTTCTGGAGCCCTGCTGCTTTCACTGGTTTCAGCTTGTCTACAGCTCTTTTCTGATAGACTCATGATATTCTTTCTGATTTTCCCCCCCTTAAAACCTTTTCCTGATGCCCTCACTGGCCCCTGCCTGGTTCTCTCTGTTTCAGCCTGATTCCCAGTATCTAAGCCAGAGTAATTTTCCTCTTGCCACCTAAGTTCCCTACTGCTCAGCTTCCCATCACCTCTCAGATCACATCCACAGTCCCTGGTCTCACCTCTGCGACTTGTCTGACAAGTCCATCGTCCTCCAGGCCCTTCACGCTGCCACAGAAACATTTTGCCCAGCACAGAAATCATAGGCATGCTGGCTGTGTTGATGCGGAGAACCAAAAGCCCAGAACTGCTCTAGGCTCAGCTCCCAGTTCTATTCCTGTTTTGGCTCCGGATGCTAAACCAGTCCCCTCCCCATTTGGAACCTATGCCTAGTCACATAAGGAGAAGACTCCCTGCCTCATGGCTTTGAGGAGGTGGGAGTGCCAGGAGCCTAGCCAGGCTCTCTGGGGCTTAGGAAGCTGGGGCCCATCCCCTAGACAGTGCCAACAGGCAGTGTACATCACAACTGACCTTTAGCTGGAATAGCCGTCTCTCTCCCTGAGCCTCAGCCAGCTGGTGGTCCCCAGAAATGCTACCAACCAGAAGGAAGACAGGAGGTTACAGGCTATCCCTGGCTGCCAGCTGGTACCTAATCAGGGCTCTCAAGGCCAGTCCTGAGGTCAGCCAAACTCTCCCCCTACTACAGGAGGGGATGACATCCTGAACTCCAAGCCTTAGCCGGGCCAAAGGAATCAGAGCAGCCTACTGCTTCTCAGCTTCAAAAGCCATGAGGTTAATTTAGAACTACAAGTCCCAGAATTCCTCAAGGGAAGTACAAATCTCAGCCAGAGTCTTAGTTCCAAAGAACCTCAAATACCAGCCACACTAAGGCCTAAGTGACTGACCACCTGCCCTGAAGGCCCAGGACCCATTCCAAACCCAGTCCTCAATGTCACAGGTCCCTGACCTAGGTTTGGAGAAATTCATAATAATGAAGTAAAGTACACTGAAAGACCCCAGATGCAGAAGACTAAGGCCAAGCCCTGGTGTTTATCACCATCTATGGAAACCAAGGCCCACGCAGGGGCCAGCAGTTGTGGGAAGAAAGCCCTCCCTCTGGCTTCTTCTTTCCTTCCAGAGTAGGGTGAGTTTTTGTTTTTGTTGTGCATGAGAGAAGCGGATTAAAACAGTTTTACTAGGTGAGAGATGACCAGATGATCACAGGTGCCCCAAACGTGGCCTCAGTCCCCTTCATCCACCAGCTCTCTCAGGAGGGAATGTTAGGCAAAAACTCTGCAGTAGGGTGCTTGGCCAGCATTTAAAGGCTACCTCGGTAAGAGGACAGGGACACAGCTGGGAATGGTAGGTTCCCAGCACAGGCCACTCCCAGTGAAGAGGTGTAGACGGGGGAGTGTGTGGGTGTGCAAGGCCAGCTGTCATGGGCTGGAGTGGTGGGGGTATCGGGCTAACTAGCCCCTCCCAAGGCGGTGCCTCTAGCCACCCTTAGCAGTGGGAATAGAGGCGGACAGCAGGAGACCACGCGTCTGCCCCGCAAAGCCCAGAAGCAGGCAGGCCATAGGAGCGAACCAGAGTCGGCTTGGCCCCCTTCCCCGCTTGTTCCCGCTCCCTCCTGTTGCCTGGCCCGCCTCTCCGGTGCAGGCTCCTCCCTCTCGCTACATCGGCCCCCTCCTCAAGGCCCCCACCCACCCGCGGCCCGCGCACCAGGCCGAGTCCCCAACCCGTGTCCGACCTCCGCCTCTTACCCTGACCCGCCGGGCTCTGAGAGCCGATACAGCCCATGGCCGGGCACCGAGTCACGCTAGCTCGCACTCGGAGCCCGGGCCATCGCCTTCCAAAGGGTCGGGTCGCGGCCACCTCCGGGGAGGGGAGAGCCCGTGAGATGGGAGGGGGTGGAAGCCGCGCGTCCGTCGCCGCTCCCCGGAGAGGGAACCGGCCGGTGACGTAAGCACAGGGGCGTGGCCGTCCACGTCACCACTCAGAGCAGGCGGGGTGCAGCCAACGTAACATCACGACCACGCAGGTGCGGCCTGGGGCAGAGGTTGGAAAATGCTGGTCCTCTTTCCCAGACCGGACCGACTATGGAGCCACCCTAAAGGCAGGGGAAGTGGAGACTCAGCCGCGCCCACCCAGCTCTGCATCCAGTCCCCTCATTTTACAGATGACATCTTGAAGCCATCAGGAGATCCTCTGATTATAAACAGGCTCAAACGCAGAGGCTTCACACACAGGGCATTGCACCACATTCTGATAGGACCAAGAGGTAACAATGTTCTAATATTAACCTCCCCTCTCTCCTAACCAAGAAGGCATCCCCTCATGCCTACCCAAGGGGCCCACTGTTTCCAGGCAACAGCGATTCCCCAGACCCCTGCAATCATGGACAGGGGAAGAGGCAGGAGGGGTGCCAAGTTACAGGGAATGGTGCTACAGTGCCAGCTCTGGAAAGGAGGATACCCACCTATCCACACCCCTTCTCCAGAGGGAGCAGGCCATAAAGCAGAGGCAGCAAATTTAATTGAATTCATGTTTAATAATTACAGGCACCGTGCCCCCCCTTCCCCCTGCCCAGGCAGCAGCAGGGGTGGTGCAGGGGCTGGGGCATATGCCCCCAGCAGCGAGGACGGCAGTCCCAAGAGTGATTTTTCAGAAAATAAAAAAGGACCCCAGGGGCAAGCAGTGGTGCCCCCCCCCCAAGACACACCAAATTTCAAGACTTTATATATAATATATCTCTGTGCCCCAGGGGGAGGAGAGGGACACCTGGCAGCATCCTGGAGGGGGGCCCCAGGCAGCCCCGAGCCATCCTGCCTCTTCAGCCACTTTATTAGCTCAGACACATCGCACTACAGGCACCCACTGCCACCGCCGCCGCCGCTGCTGCCGCCCCCCTGCAGTCCAGACGGCTGGCTGGGCCATCCACGTGTCCATGGGGCTCCAAGTGCCCGGCCCCACCAGCCCTCAGTTGTGGTCAGACTCCTCCTCCTCCTCCTCACGAAGCCAATTGAAGAAGGCTGTGACAGATTTAAGGGCCACACCCTTGCCCTGCTGCTCAGCAGGGTCCTTGCTACTTTCCCAGCTGTAGAAGGCGTCCTCCTTCACCACGTCCTCGTCATACAGGGCATCAAAGAACATCCGAAGCAGGCCTGCAAGCGGGCAGGGCAGCAGTTAGGTGACTAGCCACAGCCACCTCGGCTGGTCCCCACAGGTCCCTCCCAAGCTCCACTGTTAAAATAAGACCCTGACCCACTTGTCCTAACATTTGTGCCTGACCATTCCAGTGGCCAGGGTTCCACAGGATGCTAATCTCATGATCTAAGAGACTGGTGAAAAGAAATGAGTCACGTGGCCATCAAAAAAAACCTTAAAACTTACCCAGCCTCACCTTGGCAGCTTTGGATTTCTCCACTCATGATATACTTAACAGGAAAAATATATTTGGAATTGGTACTCTTGGATTTGGGATTATTACTTAAATCCCAAATATAATACTCACAAACATCTATGGTCAGAGGAACATTCACTGACCCTCAAAGAGGGCCTGACAAACTCTTGATCCAAATTTCCTCTTCCTTCCCACTCATCTCCCAAGCATACAGACTCCACTTTAACCATGACACTTTTGTGGGCGCAATTACCTTTTGCCAGAAATACCCCTCCTAGTAAATTCCTTCAAGACTCAAGCATCCTCTTCTCTAGCCCTTTCTTCACCACTGGTTGCTAGGCAGCCTTCCCAAGCACTGTCCTGTTAATGCCTGAATACAACCATCCTCCAACCCCAACAATGCACTGCCAGACTTTCTAACCGAGACCTTGTACTTCTGAAAACAAAGGGAGGCAGAGTAAGTGAACTGAAAGAAGTGCAGGATCTGAAGTCGAAAACTGGGAAAAACCTGTTTTTAGAGCTGGGGTCTCTCTTGCTCAGGCTGGTCTTGACCACCTATCTCCAGCAATCCACCTGTCTCGACCTTCCAGAGTGTTATGATTACAAACATGAGCCACTGGGCCCGGCCTTGCAGCAGATTCTTATGCTCCAAATCCCATACAAACCCACCCAACAACCTTATACAATCCATTATCCACTCTGCCCTCTATTTTCAAAGTTCTTCCCATTTAAGCACAAAAGGTCCCCCTCTCAACCCCTATCTCTTACAGCTAAAGATTTGTCTACACTTGCTGTTTTCTTTCCTGTCACAGTCAAGTATTTCCCAGTCCTTTCCAATTTATTCCATACTGTTTTTGCCAAGTTAGGCTCCATGTTCCAAATTATGGGGGTGGGGTGTTAATTTTCAGGTCTGCTCCTATGGAACTCTCTGTAGCTCCTGACTATTTCCCTCTTCTACAATCTATTCGTTTATGAGGCCTGTCCATTGGTCCCTAACTGTATCCCAAACCCCTCCATGTCCCTCACATTTCTATCCCAGGCCCTCAACACTCTCCCTCTAGTAAGCCCCTTTCCTTTTGTGACTTAGACGTTACTCTGTGCCAGCAACTCACCAAGCTGCCTCTTGCCACAATTTCTTCCTCTATAAATAGATAACCAGCTACCCATTTCCCAGCCCAGGGACCAAAAGCTCAGCTTGGTCCAGTGTTCCCTACCACAGTGAACAGCACCATGCCTTAAACACATTCTAGTTTAAGACGTATCCTGGGAGTCATCCAGGGCTTTTAATCTCTCTCCAGGCCCCATCACAGGCCAGTGTAACTGAAAGCTAGCTGTCAATTCCATTTTCTAAGCAGCCCTTGAATCTGAAGCTCTTTCCCCATTTCCATCAATTACTAGCAAGGCTCACTCTCACTCCATGCCAAACCATTCTTCCCACCACAGCCAGGATGACCTAAAAACTAAAATCAATTATTCCTTGCCTAAAATTCTACCAAGGCCCTTTCCAGCCCTTCGGTTAAAGCCTAAAACTCTCACCATGGGTCACACAGCCCTGCATGCCCAGGCCAGGTTCATCACTCTGGGCCCTTTTTGCCTGACTGGTTGCTGCATTCTCCCTCACTGGCCTTCCTTCAATAGTTCTTTCTCTTGTGTTAAAGTTCTTCCTGCCTCAGAAGGCACACACATAATGCCTTTTTTAAAGTGTCCCTCCTCTGTTTATCATTTAACTAATTCCCGCTCATCATCCCTCAGACCAGGTATACTTCCCCCCACAGCACACCCAGCTTCCCACACTCACATGCTACTGACATCATGCAGCACAGGAACTATGCCTGACTTAGTACAATGAACATCCCATGCCCTGACATGTAGCTGTGTTGAATGCATCACCTCAGACATGGTAACCTAGTCCTTGGTCTCCCAATATGGAAAATGGGGATAATACCATCTATTCTGAATAACAGCTGTGAGAATTAAATGAGGCAAAATTAAGTAAAGCATTTCAACTCTATATCAGAAAAAGGTAGTAGATGCTGTGTCATTTACCATCCCTACACTGGTGGCATCTAACAGATCACTAGGCACAAAGCAGGTAGTCAATTAATCGTCGGGGCCAAGTCTCATTCCTTCTGCTTACAGACAAAGACACAAACACAGGGGAAGGAATCAAAACCAGAAGGACATTTTGCTCTCCAACGACTACCCATCTTTCTTGGGTTGAGACCTTTCCAAGACTATACCCTGCTATCTGGCAGTCCCCCCACCCATCCCTGGGGCCTGGCTCTTACTGGGGGGCTGGTCTAAGGTCACTACAAGGGCCTGGAGGGCATAGAGTGCCTGCAACTCCTTCTGCTCGTCACACAGGTATTTCTGTAGCAGTTTCGCTCGCACTTTCAGCACTGCAACATCCACTCGGAGGGGAATCTCAACTACAGGGAAGAAGACAGGGATGGTAAATAGAATAATGCACCCTTAGCTGTTCCAAAGCAGGAGGTAAACTGAAACTCCCCTCCATTCATTTGCCTTTTTGGCCCACCCTCGCCCTGCCCTCTCCCTCAACTCCTCTTACAGATGATTGCAGAATAGCAGACAGCTGTCATGAGGGCTCGAACTAATGTGTTGGATGCTATCTGCTGCTCACTAAGGTTGGCCTGTGGAAGAGAAAACAAATGGCCCAAAAGTTCTAAATTGTACCCTTACGTCTTCATTCTTGCCACCCCCAACTCTGCCCTAAGAGATCTTTCTCCTTTACCCTGCCTCCCCTGGTGTCCACAAGAAATATACCTCTATCCAGTCTAACACCCGCTGGTTACTGCTGCCCTCCTTCAGCAGCTTCTCTAGCTGCTTGGTCAGCTCCTCAGAAGGCAGTGCCCTCTGGCCAAGGGCTTCTGACTCCTCTCCCAGAGTATACTCCACCTTCTGCAACCAAAAAAGCCCACAGTGAAAAGAGAGAGTGCACGGTGTGAGAGATGAAGATAGAGAAGACTGGCTAGCCCCAAATTTAACCTAACTCCAGCCCCAAACCTGTTTAGCGACGAATGCACCAACGTCCTGGCCTTCAGGTAGAAATTCTTTCCAGCTGAGCCCAGCTTCTCGCCACAGTGTCCCCACTTTTTTGGGACCCTGGAAAGCAGAAAATCAACTTAGCAACCCTTTCTTTCTCCAAGGACCTAACAGCTGCACAACAGTCATCCAATAATATTTACTGAAGGCCTACTAGGTACCTGCTAGGAGCTAAGGAGGCCACAGAGGTACCAACAGGAACAATCCTCCCATGTCTACAGTCTAGCGCAGGAAATAGATGTTAGTCAAATAACCACTCAAACAAGTAAGAACTCATCCACCACAGTGCTATGACACAAGGGTAGGGAAAATAACCTAAGAGCCTCTAGGAAAAAATGTCAATTAGGTTTTGCAGGATTCTCAAAGGCAAACATCCAAATACTTCATCTTAGCCTTCTAATGTCACCTACATTTCTTTTCCTGCAACAGCTTGGTTTTTTCATTAGTCCAAGCAATAAATGCTTACTTACAGAAAAGGAGTACTTCTTTTTTTTTTTTTTTTTTGAGACAGAGCCTTAAGCTGTCCCCCTGGGTAGAGTGCTGTGGCTTTACAGCTCACAGCAACCTCCAACTCCTGGGCTCAAGCGAGTCTCCTGCCTCCGCCTCCCAAGTAGCTGGGACCACAGGCGCCCGCCACAACGCCCAGCTATTTTTTGGTTGCAGCCGTCATTGTTGCTTTGGCGGTCCGGGCTGGGGATTCGAACCCGCCACCTTAGGTGTACGTGGCTGGCGCCTTAGCCGGTTGAGCTATAGGTGCCGAGCCAGAAAAGGAGTACTTCTAACAAATATGCTTGTTTCCTTAATCCAGAAAATCTTAGAAGCATATCTATGCTTCCTCTCCAATGTAAATTAGAAATTCTCACAAAAACAGCAGTTTGTGGGAACTGTAAGCATTTTCTGTAAGAGCCAAGAGGCCGTGTAGGCATTACTCCTTCATGATTGATATTCAGGACGGCACTGGCCCTTAACAAGATTAAAGTAGTTGGCTCAGCGCCTGTGGCTCAAGTGGCTAAGGTGCCAGCCACGTACACCCAAGGTGGCGGGTTCGAATCCAGCCAGGGCCCGC